TCCTCCAATAAAGATCTATCTACCCAATCTAGACTTCCCAAACCCTCTCTACCCATGCGGATACTATCCTCTGGTAGTGATTCATCTACCCAACGTAGATCACCCTCTCTGCCTGTACGGAAAGCTCCTTTAACATAACATCACCTCTAACCTATTCACCAGATTCGTCCAAAAGGCCTTAATCAAGAAACCACACTCATGCGAGGATCTACCCAACGTAGATCACCCTCTCAGCCTGTACGGAAAGCTCCTTTAGGATATCATCACCTCTAACCGATTCACCAGATTCGCCCAAAAGGTCTTAATCAAGAGACCGCACTCCGTAACCACCCAGAAACGTTAGATGTAGCTATGTTCAAACAGTATCTGGCTCATGAAAACCTTCACCTCAAAATTTGCACAATTTTACCTCCGATACAGGCTGCTTGCCGTGCCTACCTCGCGTGCAAAACCTCCCAATCTAAGGATAGAAAGCATCACCTAGCCGGGTGGCGTCAATACCTGATGAACCAGCCAGCCTCCTTGATCTCTCTTCAAGCCGCTGTCCGCGGCTGGTCAGTAAGATCCACCAGCTATGGAAAGCGACGTCAATTGGGTGACTGGCGCCGCTGTTTAGTAGATAGGCCCAATAGCCTCAACTCCTTTCAAGCTGTCCTTTGGACTGCTCTTACATGCCGATCCAAGGCTAGGAAGCAGCGTCAGCTGGCCGAATGGCGCCAATACCTGATAGCTGGGCCAGCCCTTTTAATTTCCCTTCAAACCACCATCCGTGGCTGGTCAGTAAGATCTGCTACTGGCGGAAAGCGATGTCAATTGGGTGATCGGCGTCGCTGTTTGATGGATAGGCCTGGTAGCCTCATCTTCCTTCAAGCAGTCCTCTGGACCGCTCTTATGTGCCAGTCCTTGGGTAGAAAGCAGCATCAGCTGGCCCAATGGCGTCAACACCCGGTGGCCCAATCGGCCCTAATCCCGCTTCAAACTGCCATTCGTGGCCAATTAGCAAGATTTGCCAATGACGGAAGGCGACATCAACTTGGTGATTTGTGCCGTTACTTAGTCGATAATCCGGCGAGTCTCGTCTCCCTTCAAGCAACTCTCCGGACCGCTCTTATGCGCCAATCCATGGATAGAAAACAGCGGCAGCTGACCCAGTGGCGTCAATATCTAATAGCCCAACCAGGTTTCTTGACATCCTTTCAAACTGCCATCCACGGTTGGTTAGCAAGATCTGCCAGTGAGAGAAAGTTGGGTGACTGGCGTTGTTATTCGGTTAGGCTCGACTTCCTTGTCTCCTTTCAAGCCGTTCTCCGGACTGCTCTCACACGACGCCGATTCCAACATTTGCGCCTCAAATTCATACCAGTCCACCTTTTTCACTTCTCTGCCATCATTCAAGAAGCTCTCCATGGAAATCAAGTTGGACAATTCACCAGCCTTCTACTTCTGCTTTTCCCCTATGTAGAACGATATTTGCGAATGAGAGCAGAAGCATATTTTTGGTGCTTTATCATTGCAGTTTGGGGTCTAAAGTCTTATATACAGGTGTCCATCTGTCATATTTGGAGCAGCATATGTGTATGGGGCTTTTACTGTCCTACCGCTCCCATGATGGATATTTTTCGAAAACCATACTTTGGAAGGACAACTCCATCTCGACTTAGTTTGGGAGGCTTTGCTATCATTTTCACCCTCTTTTGGTTTACCCTCTGGTATCAAATGAAAGTTTCTGATGTACCAATGATGATGGGAGATTCACCTCGATTTCGCCGAGTTGTTGGAATCGGTCTGGCTCACAATAGATACTTGTAACAGATCCAGTAACCAGGATATTCTAGTACATACCAATTATAATTACAAACATTTGTGTGCATATATTACGGTGACAAACCACTGTGCACTGGTAGTCTAGGAGGAGGTAGGTCACGGTGTGTTGGAGGATCACCGACGAATGTACCTCAACGAATGCAGGTCGCCGATGGTTGAGGTGACGCGGCCTGTCCCCCCGCGGCGCCATCCAGCTTCAGCCAATTATCAATCCGTCATACTTGCAAGATTATCTCCTGTTTTCGGCATTTGTACCATTACTACCAAAATGCTGCTTAGCGAAACCACACACAGTAAAGCGGGCGAAGCAAACCTTATGGCCCATCAAGCACTGTCTTGACTGGTGGCTACCACTTTTATGATAAAACCAAGGCACTTGCCTGTAGAGCTGTGTGTATAAGTCCACAAGTTTTATGAAAGGCCTTTCATAGGTGTGTCCTGTGTCTTTCTTTCTCATAAAGGCTATAAATGTAGGCAAAGACCACAGGATCCTTTCATAACATTTCTTAGGACCTTTCATAAAAGCTTTCATAATTATTATCATGTGCTTTCTATGAATATTTCATTGAAGCTGTTCAGTTCTTTCATTGTACTTTTCATAATTAAACCTGTGCGCTTTCAATAGGTATTTCATTCACTGGGTTAGGTGTATTCATTGCCTTTTTCATAATTAATGGTGTGCACTTTCATTGAATATTTCATTAGGAATTTTCGGCGCTTTCATTGCTTTTTTCATAATCAATCCAGTGTAATTTCAATAAATATTTCATTGACTATGTCAGGTGTATTCATTGCCTCTATCATATTTAATGGTGTGTGCTTTCATTGAATATTTCATTAGGAATATTGGATGCTTTCAATAAATATTTCATTCCCTAGGTCAGGTGTATTCATTGCCTCTTTCATTAGGAATTTCAACGATTTTCATTCCCCTTTCATTAATTAATGGTGTGCGCTTTCATTGAATATTTCATTAGGAATATTGGATGCTTTCATTGTACTTTTCATAATTAATGTTGTGTGATTTCAATAAATATTTCATTCCCTAGGTCAGGTGTATTCATTGCCTCTTTCATTAGGAATTTCAACGATTTTCATTCCCCTTTCATTAATTAATGCTGTGTGCTTTCATTGTGCATTC